TTCAGAGAAAAAAGTCAGAATTCTGAGATTAAAGTCAGAATTCTGAGATTAAAGTCAGAATTCTGAGATTAAAGTCAGAATTCAGAGAAAAAAGTCAGAATTCTGAGATTAAAGTCAGAATTCAGAGAAAAAAGTCAGAATTCTGAGATTAAAGTCAGAATTCTGACTTTAATCTCATAATTCTGACTTTTTTCCCATGTTAAACTGAAATAAAATTTAAAAATCTGTTTACTTTTTTTTTTTTTCAGTGGCCCTAATCCTCTTCCGTAAAGAACAAAAGCACTTATTTTAAGAAAAAATGACTTATCTAGACTAGACTTACTATGTTCCACACATACCTGATGTCCTGATAATCAATGTTCTCCTGCTCTTCATTTCCAGGTAAAATAAAGGATAACTAAATTCCAGGAAAATGGGAAAAAGAGAAGAGAGACTTACTGTGGTCCGTGCTATTGACTAGTGGCTCATGTTGGGGGGGTTTCTTTCCCTTGTGATCGATGGGTGGGAACTCTCCATCAGATAAGGCGGGGTTCAGTTGAGAAGAAAAGTCCTCAAGTGGGGGAATAGGACTAGACAGGGGGCTTAAAGCAAAGACAGTATGATTATTAGTGATTATTTGTATATTTGCTAAATCAAACTAACTTCTGGAAGACTTTGTGTTTCCGCTGCTCACCTTGTGGCCTTTTTTCGCGCCTTTTCAAGAGCGCTTAAGATCCTCTGGTCACTGGGAGGGGTTCTTTTCCCTGTGCTCATGTCCTCTGCCCTCTCCAGGGCGGACAGGGCAGAGATGGGACGCTCTAGTTTGGAAAGAGAGTCTGTCGTGTCCTCTGAACCCGGATGCTCTGCCTCCACGTCAGAAGGGGCTACGACCCGAAGCTCAGGAGGCGATGGGGAGGGAGCAGAGGCCTCAGGAGGATCCGAGTTGGCAAAACTCGGTGGAGGAGAGGGGATAGCTCTGGATGGAGGGGATTTCCTGGGCGGAGGGGAGGGGGGAGCGGTGGGTGGAGGGGAGGGAGCCACTATTGGTGGAGGGGTAGAAGCCACGGTGCTTGGAGGAGAGGGGGCAGCAACGACTGGAGGGGCGGGAGCAATGATGGGAGGAATGGAAACGGTTTCATTTTGGACACGCAGGTCAGAAACTGGCAGAGCAGGACTTTCAATCTGTGGGGGGGTTTCACTCTGCAGGGCAGGAGCTCTGACTTCTGAGGTGTCTGGGATGAAGGCTGGAGGAGGGGAGAAGTCGGGGGGGTCAGGGATAGGGGAGAGAGCTGCCAGGTCCACTGCAGCCCTGGGTTCAGGGACGGTAATCTTTGGGAGAATGGGTTTTGGTACCGAGTATATCGACTCCTCTGGCGTGCAGTCGGCATGGGAAACCACTGGGAGCAGCAGTGCTGGTCCTGCTGCGTCACCAGAAGGAGAGTCTAAGATTGATTCTGCTGGATCTTTCTTGGTAGACTTCATGAAACCAAGAATGTTCTTCTTCCTCTGTGTTTTGGCTTTTGGAGGAGGAGAGACTGGTACCAGCTCAGCTGTGCTCTCTTTCTGTATCCCGACGAATGGAAGCTTCTTACCGTTCTTCTCCTTGTGATCCACAGAGTTTTCATTCAGCTTCTCCTTACTTTCTTTAGTCTTATCCTTCGTCTCCTTAGGCTTTATGTCAGACTTTTCTTTGGCTTTTGAGTTATTATGGATAAGAATCTTTTTGTTATCCTTCTTCTCATCCTTAAAGACCACTCTGGGGGCGTTCAGCGTCTTTGATTCCAAGGCATGGTTGATGGAGGAGAGCAGGGAGGGGCGTGCTCCTGATGGAAGATGGTGAGTGGGACTCGTGGGAGGAGGGATGACCTTTGGTTTCTCTGGGACACTAGGTTTGGTCTTTGGTGGCCCCAGAAGGAACTCCTTGTCCTGGAACTTGGCTCTCAGCGCCTGGAAGTCTAATGCTTCCTCTTGCTAAGAGTGTAACAGGAAAAAAAAAAAATCAACCACATATTATCTTCATATTTCTGACTTTAATTCATTTACGAAGCGAGACGCAAAGTTTCTGGATCTCAATATTTGGATGGTACTCCTGCGCTCTTAAAGTTAACATAAAACCAGACCCAGAAACGGCCCTCTTTGGCGTCTCGGACACTCTTAAAAAAATTGGGTCGTGATGTAACAGCAGTGGTCTCCACATTGCCATAAGATGCATATTTTAAAGCAGTGGAAGGCTGACAGACCACCTCATTTTGAATCTTGGATCGAGGAATTTACAGGAATCTTGCACATAGAAAAAATTTGATTTGATTTAATAAACTGTCCTCAAAAATATTACAAAATTTGGAAACCCATTTTAGATCAACTGAAGCCATAAATAACCCCTATCCCCCCCTCTTTTTTTGTTCTTCTTTACCCCATTTGTTATGAATAAAGGTGTGGACACTTCTAATTGACTGGTTGAAACTCCATAAAGTGTGTTTTTTAAATTTTTATTTTTACTTTTAGTATGTCCAAAGTGTAAATAAACAAATTATTTTTATATAATATTATTTATTGTTTGTCTAAGGTTTTTTTTTGTGACAAATGCTAAAGGACATTAATCATTGTCATGTTTTTGTTGTATACCTGTGAAAAATCTATAAAAATAAAGTTAAAAATAAATAAACACAAATAAAGTCCAATGAATCCTCACCATCCTGATAACTCAGTTTAACTTCTAAACCTATCAGCCAATCACATGCTCCGATGCACAGGTGTTTAAACTAAACAATTAGATGAATTTAACCCTTTATAGGGCAAATTTCCTTTTTTGATTTTTGAGGTCTAGAAGCACTAGATCTATATCCAGCCATTCAGCAAAGATCCTGCTACATGGCTGTACATCTTATTTTTCATTTGACCAATTAGAGAAGCCCTTTAATGATATATTAACTACTGGAAATTAAGTTGGAAAAAAGTCAAGAATGTAAAACATTAAAACGTAAAGTTAAAAAAATAATAATAAGCCTAGTTAACTATTATATTTAGTTTTATAAACTAAAAAAATGTCAGTGCCAGTATCAGCATTAATGCCTCTAAGGTGATGTTGGACCAATAAATGTGTTTCTTTCACTTTGTTTTTTTCATGAATTTCTTCTAGAAGCACTTTTGTTATTTTTCTTAATATATTTGGGATAGTTGGTTTTTCTTGTTATTACATTGACATTATTTTTTTACCATTAACATATCCATATTTTTAATATTTAATAGGTAATAAGGTCTTGTCCTGATTCCAATAACTATTGGATTGAAATGTTGATTTTCACTGAGTGCCTATAAATGGCCTTTATCAGAGATTTTTTCAAGAAAATATAAACAATCAGAGCTTTTGAAACTGAACTGAAGTTAGTAGCCTATTATTAATTATTCTACATAAAAGAAGCTTAAAAGCATCATTTGTAAAGAGATAAAGGACCAACGTGGGTCAGTAGTTTGTATGGAAACATGTGGCTGATTCAGGCCAACTCACCTCATCCATCCTGAGGTTAAGATCCCAAAACAAGAGAAGAAAATTGACTGAATAGTTTTCTTCCTCAGCCTCTCATCCTAAATCCAAGGAAAATAAAACTTTCTGAATAAACTAAAAACGACCCTCAACGCGTGGCTCTTGTCACGCTGCGTGGGTTGCTCTGTGCGCTTTGGAGATGGTTTCAGGTCTGGAATAAGCTGAGTTGGAAAACTCGCTCCTCATGTGGAAGAAAACAGTCCAGCTGGACAAACGGGTCTGGCTTCAGTTAACGTAATACTGTGACTCTCTGCTGGTAGGACTGTTTTGTTTTTTCTTATGTCCCAGCAGGAATGCCACCGGGCTGGAGCTGCGCGCGCCACCGGGCTGGAGCTGCGCGCGCGGCTCCAGCCCGGTGACTCACCACCAGTCTCTGTGAATTCACCTTCCTCACAATAACCGCCGCTTTGTCTGTATAAACTATCGCAGCTGAGGAAAAAGAAACATATTTATGATTAGATTTTTCCTTTCCTTTAATCTTTAGGTGGGATGTGTAAATCAGGTGTGAATCTTCCAGATTAACGGAGAATAAATGAAGCAATAGAGGTCGGTCAGCATTCCAGGTCTGTCAGGCAGAATGCAGAAGTACTTAGGGAGGTATTCAGAATATGCTGAAGTAAATGCACCACCTGCCATGAAAATGTCTTTATTCCACACTTCTGAAAGATGGAGACTTTCTACCAAACAGAGCTGAGAGGACAGGAGTCAAGGACCTTCTGAGGCCTCCATTCCTCTGCACTGACACCTTCAGCTCCAATCACCTAAAACCTGAAATGTTCAGTTTTTTGTTCAGCTCTCTGGTCTATTTTCTGTTTATGTCTCCTGCTCTGGGATGAAGTCAAAAACTGTTTATTATAGCTGACAAAAGTAATAAATCGACTCCTTAACAACTAATATACCAAAACTGCTTTTGGGTGTTGGATACAGATGACTAAGTCAAAAAAAAAAGGGCTTGGCTTAAATGAAACTACCTGGTTGTCTACGCTATTCGGGAACTATTTCTGTAAACTGTCACAGGAAATGGAAAAAAGGGCGTGCTGCTGAAATAGCTAAGATGTCAGGGATAAATAGAGCACTGTGCTAAAATATTCATAACATGAGATTTTGATTAGAATTTTTAAAGTGGTGCAAAGATACTTAATACCCATATTTATTTACTTGAAAGCATTAAAAATAGGCTTTATAGAGGCCCTTCAACACCCCCAGGCTTTGGTGTCCATGCAAATCTTCCTGAAATCAGATCAGCATGTTTTAAGAAGTCTCTACATCTTAACTTAACCTACTGTGACGTTTGCTAAAGCTGACATGGAAGTGCATCATTTTCCAATCAGAACGAGTTCACAAGTTTCACCTTTAAAGAAAGGAAAGCAATAACAATAGAGAAACTGTCCTTCCATCCATCTTCCTGGATGGGAAGCGAAACGTCCAGAAACTTGATTGTTTTTTTTTTACTTTTCTGGAACAATAGAGAAGTTTGAGAAGGAATGCAGAAAAAGACTTCTGGAATAATGTTCTTTGCACAGAGGAGCCCAGAAGTGTCTAAAGTATTATTTATTACTCAAGCAGAAATCCTGCTGTTTAAAAACAGTTAGAGTATCAACTTAAGCTCTTTACTCAAGTAAAACTACTTAAATTATAAAAGGAATGCAGGAAAACATGTTCAGGAAAGATGCTTTAAACCTCATACTGGTTACTTCACTACTCTATGAAAGGAACATTTTTCCTACTATTCTGAACTTCCTTAAACTAAATTTTCTTAGTTTTATAACAAATAGTGTTAAATTTAACTTTCTCTGTCCAGGATGGACCCCCCCTCTCATCCGTCCACAGCTGCAGATAGACACCAGCACCCTGCTTGGGATAAGCGTGATGGATGGTTTTAACTTTGTTTAAATACCAACAGGCCATAAAGAAAATGAGTTTAAATGAAACAAAAGTAGCAATTTTTAAGGACTAGAAAGTAGAGATAATTGCAAAAAAAAAATTTACGTAGTAGAAGTAAAAAATTATCTAAAAAATAATTACTCCAGTAAAGTATATATAGCCAAAATTGAACAAAGTAATTTACTTGACAGCTCTGGATGAGTCTACATGTAAATAAGGAGAACAGAAGACTGTAGTTAGAATAGTTTAGGGAGACGTTTAGCGTCACATTTTACCCAGAATGCATTGGACAATAGGGCGTTTGAGGAAAGTAAAAAATAAAAAATACAACAAACTAAATAGACCCTGCAACCTGACAATAGCACAAAACAAACCAGGAAATTCCCCAAGGACGGGCGGAGTTCCTCCTTTTATTCTGGGTTTGAGGCTGCACACTGCAAAAACGATCTAGAAATTAGTAAAAATGTCCTTAATTTATTGTATTCACCCTTAATTTGAGCAGGTAAATGAGAAAGTTTGCCAATGGAATGAGTAATTTTACTCTTAAAATAAGATAATTAGATAATATGCGCTTGAAATAAGACAATGCAATAGTGTTTTCTTATTTTAAGTGTAATTTGTCTTGTTCCATTGGCAGAATGTCTCTTTTACCTCCTTAATTCAAGAACAAATGCCCTTATTTTAAGAAAAAATAACTTATCTAGATTTAGATTTTTTGCAGTGCATCTTAAAAAGCTTTTGCTGCGTCTTTGATTGTGACAGCCCATTAAAACACTGTTAAATGACAACATGAACGCCACCTTCTTCAGAGTAACTAAAGACGCTCCGGGTCGATTCACCTCTTCCACAAACAGCCCATTAGGCTCATTCTCTGTTACTAAAACACAGAAAAAATCAGAAGCAATAAACAGGCCTGCAGATCATTTGGGGAGTGTTTATTTGTAACAGGTAATAATACATGGTGAAATATGTAAATCAAGATAGAACCCAAAGTAAATCATCTAAAAACCCGACGTAGAATGTCATATTCAAGAAAGATAAAAATAATGCTTCAATTTACATTAAGAAAGTGTTAGCTGAGGTAAAGTTAAAATAGGTCTAGAAATGTTATGTACTAAACAGCAACGGTTCCCTTTTTATTCCGCTTCTTTGCTCACCTTCTAGTAGTTTCAACATTTGTAGGTTAATTATTATCCTAGTCCAAGAGATTTGGAGCTGCATGGGGACCCTGGCCATAAAATAGGGATATATTGGCGTCACAGTTAATGAAGCTGTAGCAGGGGATGTTGCAGAGGGGATTAAGCACCTGTCCAACAGGTGATGGATGAAGGGCTGGAGACACAGTGACAGTCGGTGGTGCGGCTGCAGCTGCTTCAAACACAATGCGGAGTGTTTAGTGGTTGAAAGGCACAGGGCTGTGCCATTCTGGTGGACAAACTGTAGGAGCTAATATGCTCTGGGCATAAGAGGAATCTGCAGCGACGGGACCACAGAAGAGGAAGAGGGGCGTGCTGCACGGTTTAGAAGCTGAACTTACTCCGAGTGACGCGTATAAGCTGAACAAAAAGACGATGCAGTGCAGAGCTGAAGCTGCAAACAAAACTTTGAGGGGAAAAATAAAAAAACATGCAGTGCTTTGCAAAAATATTCACAACACAATGTTCTCACATTTTGTCATATTGTAACCTCAAATCTCAAAGGATATTGGCGGCGACGTTTTGTGATAAATCAACACAAAATAATGTATGAATGTGGAAGAGAAGGAACATTTTAGTTTTAACTTAATTAGCTCGTTATGGATTTACATTAAGCCCTCAAATGGTTCTTTTCAGTGGAGCGTTATGCTAACAGGACATTACTTTAAGGGTATTACAGTAAGGGGTTCAAACAAATGTATCCAACAGTTTGTTCGATCTCCTTTCACTGGACTGAATTTAAATGGTATATAATTTTTTTCCGGGATTCAGAGTTAAGGGCTTTAAAGTCAACTACCAGTTTTAGTCCGTGAGGCAGACACCCTGTCTACTTTTAAGGCTAGGCTTAAAACTTTCCTTTTTGATAAAGCTTATAGTTAGAGTG